ATATATATTTGCTTGTTGGTTTCAAGTTTGTTACAGAAGGTTTACTTTTATAATAACAGAGCTTTCATTCCTTTTGATTCTAATTCTATGAGATCTGTTAATTGATCTACCAAAGTTTTGACTGGTGTTAACTAAAAGAGGTTCTAGGGCTGGAGATTTATTTAGCTCAGTGGTGCTGCCACCTGCCTTATAATTCAATTGGTCAAATACATTTGAGCGTATTATAGTTTCACAAATTGTCTTACAAGTTTGTGTCTGTACAATTGTTTGAAAGGTATTTGTCCAGTTATACTAGATTGAAATGACAGCAAGGATACTAATAATTTGTTAATTCCTATAACCTGGTTTTATAAGTTAAAATTTTGTCAAGATAATTAGGTATAAATTCAGACCTAGATAAACTGTTAATAGTAAAAAAGACAGCTACTCAGAGAAAATTTATTCTGGTCTTTATTCACTAAGGCCTTCTGAGAAGATATACCTCCAGTAAGCATGGCTAAATATGTTGTTATAGAATGTTTACATTGGTTATCATCAAAGGGTTAAATTGTAAATATGCTATTGTGTTATGTTTATAGTGCTCAATTTTCAAAATAGGATTTCTGTAGAAAAAAATTAAGAGGTTCTATAAAAATGCTTTTTATACCTAATTAGATTAAAGGTTATGAAGTTTCATACATAAAATTATGATTATTGTTAATTTTTGGATGTACTAAATAAAAAAACAGATAAAAAAATTTTTGAGATAAAAGGTTTTTACAGGATCTAGATTCTCTATATGTATAAATCTTTAAAGGCCCTAGAAAGACAGTGATTATTATAGAGTAAAGAGCGAGAGTCAGCATTTAAACAGCTAAAACTCTTTCTGCTGCCCCCTGTACCAGGGATCCTAAATGTGACCCAGCCTTTTAGTTTGTACCTGACTAAAAGAAATCATACTGCTTTAAGGGTGCTCCTTGAAGGAATAGGCCCATAGAAATAGCCAGTGATATATTTATCTTAGAGTTTAGATCCAGCTGTGAAGAGATAGTTCCTTTGTTTATAAAGCCCTGGCAGCTGCAGTAATGGCTAATTGAGAAAGCTGACCCCATAACATTAGGAAAAAGTAAATTATTCAGTTTTCCCATGCCTTTTAGAACTATTGAATAACAGGACATTGATGGCTCTCAAATAATAGAGTCACATAATATCAGGCCCTCATCTGTGAAAATCCCCCCTTATATTTTGCTCCAGTTAAAACCTTAAACCCTGCTACTTTTT